TACTCTGGGACGCAATGTCCTGTATACGAGCCAATCCAAAATCACCAAGCTTCAAACAAATACTATCCGCGTCATAAGATGCCATGAATATATTTTCTGGTCTTAAATCGCGATGAATTAGAGGTTTTGCCTGTTTGTGCAAATACATGAGACCCTGGACAATCTCTTTAAGCCATGTAATACTGATAAAAAATTCCAGGTCACCAGGCTCAGAATTAAGTATGCGGTCGAATAGTTTGTCCTTGCTCAAAATGAGCTGCCTTAGAGTACATTCGCATAACTCCATTTGAATGAATATATGGTTTGTTTTAAACCACGAGCCATAGTATTTAATGATGTAATTGTTATCCAGGCCCTGCAGTAATTGCAGCGATTTTTTCTCATCGTCTTCAATGTGTAAATCATTTTCTTTTGTTTCTATTATTATTTGCAATCAAATGATAAATGTTATAAAATTAATAACACATTTAATGTAACAAATTGTGCACTAATATTGTACATTGAGGTTTTAAATAAAAATACAACTAATCATAATTGACTAATTGCAAAATTATTACCTTTTATATCGATCACCTTTAAGGTGCAATCATTTTGTTGATCATCAGATAAATATCGCACTTTATAGACCTTGCCAAATGTACCACGACCAATTTCACTGACAACCTCACCCTGAATCTCTTTCAACACTTCTTCTAATTCATAATTATAATCGCTATCATTGGACGCCATGTTATAAATGCCAATTCAATAATTTATTTATTTATTAAAATCTAAATCTTATTATACTGTAAATGGCGGACATTTATCAATTATTTGAGCACAATGAATTGTTTTGTATTAAAAAATTTTATTAATATGTATAAATGCTATTTCACTTACACACTAATAAATTGTTTCCATAGATTATTTGATAAATTTATATTGCCTAACAATATAAAATTTTATCAGTTGATAGCTAAGCATTTAAGAATTAAGAATGTAACATTACAAATAAAAGTATATAATAGTTATTTTGTTAATAATTTTTTAATTAAATTAATATAAATTTTAAGGGTCGCTAACAATAAAATAAATTGTGTAATTAATTATGATAATCTGCCTATTCATACATTTTCACACAGTTTTTCAATTTTATTGGAAACATATTTATATAAATATTTATTTTGATCATCTATTAAGCCCTCGTAATAATTGGTGTAATCGTTCAAAACCTTTTGATAGTCTTTGCTTTCAGTTTCAGATATTTTGTCCAAAAGTTGTTGAACTGTGAGCCGTTTGCTAATTCTATCCTGAATTAAATCCAATAACATACCTTGCACATTTTCCATACGAGTTGATTGCTGCTCTTCAGTGCTAATCAAATAACAAATGTAAGTCATTTATAGCTTAATATTTGTGAGTAGGAGTGAGTGAGTGAGTGAGTGAGTGAGTGAGTGAGTGAGTGAGTGTGTGTGTGTGAGAGAGAGAGAGAGAGAGAACAACTTACTAATCAAAGTTAAACAGCTCTTTGATAAACATTCCGAGACTATACATATCACACATTATGTCATATTTCTTATAGTCCTCTTCGGCGCACACTTCCGGTGCCATATAGATAGGTGTTCCCACTTTCCGAGTATTAGTTTGCGAGGCAACAGCTTGTATTTTAGCCAGACCAAAATCACCAAGCTTCAACAGCGCAGTATTAGGCTTAACAGTAGCCATGAATATATTTTCCGGTTTCAAGTCTCGGTGCATAATCGGTGGCTTATGAGTGTGCAGATACTTGAGACCCTGGGCAATCTCATTAAGCCATGTGATGCTAATGAAAAATTCGAGGTGACCAGGCTCAGTCGTGTTCTCACGTTTAAATAACTGATCCTTTGCTGTAATTAAGTGCCTTAGAGTGCACTCACATAACTCCATTTGAATGAATATATGGTTTGTCATAATCCATGAGTTCATATATCTAGTTATGTAACAGTTATCCAGGTCTTGCATTACTTTTAGTGATCGCCTCTCGGTTTCCTCAATACGAGACTTCCCTTCATTCGCACCTATAGTTAAAAATAATATTTGATAATAGTTACAGTTTTACTAGAATATAAATTACACAATTATTACTTTGGTATACACCCACCATTTAATAAAACTTTTAAGTTTATTAGTTTAATTATAATTACAAAAATTTAAAATTACCTTTGATGTTAATAACTTTTAGGGCACATTCATCTTGATCATCATTTACCACGTATCGCACTTTATAAACCACACCAAATGACCCACTACCAATTTCCTCAATAGCCTCACCATTCAATTGGTCTAATATTTGTTTCATTTCAGCATTTGATTCCATAGTATTTGATGTCATGTTTGGGTATTTCATACAATTAGCAGAGATTTCTTAATATAAAATAATATTTCAAACTTCTATTAATGAAATCCAGTATCTATAATAATATGAATATCAATTTTATCACAAATAGTATGCAAATAGTGAGTGGGATGTCGTGATACTTATAAACAGTATCAGTTACTAATGACTCATTAGTAATGAGCTATTTTTCATTAATACAATTATAAATTACATTGAAATTGTATGACAATTATGTTGTCATAGACTTTCAGATATTTGTTTGAAATACGTCTAGAGAATAATTTTATGTACAATTTAATTATGAAGTTTTAATACAATAGATAGTAATTCTGAAATTTTAGTTTTTATAATGATCACACTTGTAATTAAATAACTCAATATTATTATTTAATGAGTATTTAAAAATAAAAACAGACTGCTACTTTTAAATAACGTTTTCTCATAAATATTATTATGCTTTAATTTAATTGGTAAATATCATACAAAACTATTTCACACAACAATTTTATAATAGATTGTTTCCATAGAGCATACGATAAAATATAAACAATTATTTCTTAATTATTTAACTTATTTAATAATGAATATAAAATTTAATAAATACAATTAAACATTTTTAATAAAAAATTTTTATATTCAAATTATTCACAGATATTTAAAATAATTAAATTTATACGTTAGCAATTACATCGCAGTTTTTATTAATCAAATATATAAGTTTAAATTGTAATATTATTACAATTAGTATCATTTGAATTATTTTGCAATAGATTATCAATTTTGGTAAATATGTATTTATACAGGTTTTTGTGGTCACTATGTAGCAACTCATTAGTATAATTAAAGTACTCAGCCAAAACTGTTTCATTATCAACTGGCTCAATTTTCCTCAGCATTTCTAACAGTTGTTCACTTTTTGGTCTAACTTTATATCTGACAGTAATTAGCTTGTTCATAATATCGCGCAAACTTGCGATCCTTTTTGATTCATCGGCATTTGATTCAGTCAAACTGTAAAACATTAAAATAATTAACCAGGTACTAATAATCCAATACTATTTAATTGAATACTCACAAATTACATATAAAAATGTGCTGGCCAATCATACCCAAACTGAACATATCGCACGACTCGTTGTAATGATGATTATCAGTACTAATACTTACTTCCGGTGCTATAAACTTTCCTGAACCTACATCCGCAGTGTGTGTGACCGACCCTTTGTCCCTAACCTTAGCCAATCCAAAATCACCTAGCTTCAAACTACCGTCGCTGGCCATCAGGATGTTTGGTGGCTTAAGGTCCCGGTGCATTATAGGGGGTGTTTGGGTGTGAATATAATGGACTCCCTGTGCTATCTCATGAAATATACTAAACGACACAAAGTACTCGAAATGATTGGGCTCTACTAACAGAAATCTGAATTTATAGAAAAAGTACCTAAGTTAGTTATGTAACTCTAGCGTAAGTGTGTTGAGGTAGTAATACATATATTGCCACCCACATCAGGTGCTGTACTGTATGGCGACCACATGGCTGTTGTCCAGCTTTTCCATGATTGACAGCTCTCTGAGATATTTCTTCTCATTTTCATTCAGTTGTGCTGTAATTAACAGTCATTTTGATTACAATATAACTTTTTGTAACACTTGTATGAAATTTATTATAAATATTAATGTAATTATAATAAATAAGTTACAATACCTGTCAATTGGATTTCCTTGAGAGCATATTTGCTATGGTCCTTGGTTACTCTGTAAACCCAACCATATTGTCCAGATCCTATTTTGTTTATTTCGGTCAATTGTGCTTTTAATTCATCATCAAGGTTGGTTTCATTAGCACTAATATTGTCAATATTTTGCAATAGATTATCAATTTTGGTGGATATGTATGTATACAGATTTTTGTGTTTATCATTTTGTAACTCATCAGTATAATCCAGGTACTCGGCCAAAACTGATTCCATATCAACTGGCTCAATTTCGCTCAGCATTTCTAGCAGTCGCTCACTATTTGGTCGAGCATTAAATCTAACCGTGATCATTTTATTTATAATATCGCGCAAAGTTTGAATCCTTCCAGTTACATTTGTTTCGGATAAACTATGCAAATGATAAAAACAATTATTATACTATATTTACTACCTTTAAAACTAAATGAACAAGCACACTTACAGGTTATAGACAAATATTTTCTGGCCGCACATACCCAGGCTATACATATCGGCCGACTGTTTGTAGTGAGAAAGCGAACCTTTACTAACTTCGGGCGCCCTATAAAAATCGGCGCCTACTCCTGATGTATGTGTCACCGTCACCGACCCTTCTACCACCTTAGCCAGACCAAAATCTGCTAGCTTCAATACGCCATTCCTGTCCATTAGAATATTGGATGGNCTGATGTATGTGTCACCGTCACCGACCCTTCTACCACCTTAGCCAGACCAAAATCTGCTAGCTTCAATACGCCATTCCTGTCCATTAGAATATTGGATGGCTTGAGGTCCCGGTGCATAATGGGGTGCGGTTCGAGTGAGTGGATGTAATGGACTCCCTGTGCTATCTCATAGAATATACTAAACGACACGAAGTACTCGAAATGGTTGGGCTCTATATTTTCGCCACATTTGGTCAGCCCTTTCATGGAGTCAATCAATGCATTCAAATCGCATTCACATAACTCCATCAATATGTATGAAAAGCCATCCTTAGTCCACGACATCTTATACTCGACCACATGATTATCCTTCAGATTCTTCATGATTGACAACTCTCTCAGTTCATCAGCAGTCAATTCATCAGGCTTCAATTGGTCTGCTAATGAATAATTAGATAACATTAAGAGTATATAATTATATACTAGTATGTTTTTATTAAATGTTTAACACTTCTTTCATGATATACTAGTGTTACAATACATTTTAAATAACATTAGATAATATAGTATTAGTACCTTCAATTCGAATCACCTTGAAAGCATAATTAATTTGGTCCTTGGTCACCTTATAAACTTTTCCATATGATCCAGTTCCTATTATTAGTTCATCTGTCAATTGGTTCGTAAATGTTTGAAAATCCTCATCACAAATATTTTGATTGTCACTCATATTGACTCGCTTTTCCTTACAAATACTGTATTATATGAAATAAACAAATAATTAGCACTTATATACTGTAGACATTTAGACATTTTTTGTGGTAATCTTTATCAATATTTACTTATTAAGTCTATTTCATACCTTTAAGGCAATTGTGAGAAGAAATTAGCTATTATTACCGGTATTACAATAATAAACATAATAAATATAATGAGACTGATAATAGCAATTGCCATAATATTGCCGGAAATAGTGATTCATTATATTTCACAGAATAAATTGTTTAGATAACGTAGAGATAACTAAACTTTTTTTTAATAAATATTAAACTTATAAATTTATACTTAAATAATTAAAATAAATTTTCTAAATTAAATAAGTTAAATAAAATTTCTCAATTAATGTTTAATAGATTTATTATACAAATACAACTCATTTACTCAATAATTTGATAAATATAGTGAGAGATAAAATATTATTGAAATTTATCTACTGGATGATGATAATAATAAGAATACACATTTTTAATTAATTAATTATTTATTCTATCTAACTATAATTAAAATAACATATAATTATTTTACAAAAATCAAATTAACAAATATTATACAAATATTTAAGTTAAACATGAATTCCCTATTATTTAAATAATTAACTTACTTTAGTTTATTAATTCTGATGGATACAAATTGATTTAGAAATTTATGGGAATTGTTTAAACCATTTTCATAATCCTTGTATTCATCCAAAACTTTCTTATCATCTATTTTGTCAATTTTGCTCAACATATCCAACAGTTTCACACTATTTGGTCTTTTATTAGATTTGTGGTCAATGAGCTGGTTCATTATATCGCGCAAACCTGTGATTCTTTGCGAGTCACTTTCATTTGGTATCGCCAAACTTATCAAGATTAAAAGCTAGTTCATTATTTAAATTATTAAAAATTTAAGTCTAGTATAGGATTAATTATACTCACAAATCACATATAAAAATGAACTGGCCAATCATACCCAAACTGAACATATCGCACGACTCGTTGTAATGATGATTATTACTACTAATACTTACTTCCGGTGCTATAAACCTCTCTGAACCGACACCTGCAGTGTGTGTGACCGACCCTTTGTCCCTAACCTTAGCCAACCCAAAATCACCTAGCTTCAAACTACCATCACTTGCCATTAAGATGTTTGTTGGCTTAAGGTCCCGATGCATTATAGGGGGTGTTTGGGTGTGAATATAATGGACTCCCTGTGCTATCTCATGAAATATATGATACGACACAAAGTACTCGAAATGGTTGGGCTCTACATTGTCTTTAGACTTAAATATCTTTTTCATGGATTCAATCAATACATTGAGATCGCATTCACACAACTCCATCATTATGTATATAACGGTGGGTGTAGTCCACGACATGACATACCCGACCACATGGTTGTCGTCCAGCTTTTCCATGATTGACAGCTCTCTGAGATATTTCTTCTCATCTTCATTCAGTTGTTCTGAAATTTACAGTCATTTTGATTACAATATAACTTTTTGTAACATTTGCATGTTTATAATAAATATTAATTTAATTATAATAAATAAGTTACAATACCTGTCAATTGGATTTCCTTGAGAGCATATTTGCTATGGTCCTTGGTTACTCTGTAAACCCAACCAAATTGTCCAGATCCTATTTTGTTTGTTTCGGTCAATTGTTCTTTTAATTCATCATCAAGGTTGGTTTCATTAGCACTCATATTGACTCAATTTTCTAAACAAATATTTAACATAAATTTTTTCTCTTATATACAGATATTTGTCGTAATATTTATCTACATTTACTTTTAAGTCTATTTCATACCTTTAAGGGAATTGTGAGAAGCAATGAGCTTAATAGCAATGAGCTCGTATTACAATAATAAACATAATAAATATAATGAGACTGATAATAGCAATTTCCGTAATATTTCCGGAAATAGTGATTCATAGTATTTTACAAAATAACTTACAAATAACTAAACTTTGTTATAAGTTTCTATTTGACATATTTTCATTTAAATAATTAAAAACGATTTGCTAAATTAAATACACTAAATGTTAAGCAAAATTTTACAATTTTGATATTTAATATTGTATCATAAAATACGTAACACTTTTACTCAACATTTTGATAAATGGTTTTGGTTTCCTAAGAGTATGAGATAACAATTATTTAATTTAACCGATAATAATGCCAATATTACACATTTTTAATAATTTATTTTTTTATACAATCTAGAACATAATTAAAATGAGAACTGTATAATTATTTTTAAAAAATATAATTAACAACAATTTTACTATACAAATAATTAAATAAAATATGATTTAACTATTATCTAAACCATGTAATTTATTTTAGTTTGTTAAACCTGGTTAATACAAATTGTTTAAGATATTTGTGATTATTCAAAACTCCTTCATAATCCTTGTATTTATCAAAAACTTCTTTATTATCTATTTTGTCAATTTTGCTCAACATTACCAACAGTTTCACACTATTTGGTCTACTAATGGGTTTGAGATTAATTAGCTGGTTCATTATATCACGTAAACCTGTGATCCTTTGCGAGTCACTTTCATTTGTGTTAACCAAACTTATCAAGAATAAACAATATTAATTAATTAATCAATATAACTTAAAATTATATAATAAGTTATATACAAAAAATCATACTTTAATATTATTTGATATAGTGTAATTTATACTCACAAATCACATATAAAAACTTTCTGTCCAATCATACGCAGGTTAAACATATCTCACAATTCATTGTAGTGATGATTTGCCTTACGATCACTAACTCCCGGCGCTATATACGTTTCCCAACCCACCCCTCCAGTGTTTGTCATTGACTCTTTGGTTATGTATATAATACTAATTATTATTAGTCACTAATACTTGCAATTTTTATATTATTTATTATGTAAATATAAAATCATTATTTAGAAAAATACCATTTACTGCTCAGTTTTAATACAATAGGTAGTAATTCTGAAATTTTAGTTTTTATAATGATCACACTTGTAATTAAATAATTCAATATTATTATTTAGTGAGTATTTAAAAAATAAAAACAGACTGCTACTTTTAAATAACGTTTTCTCATTAATATTATTATTCTTTAATTTAATTTGTAAAATGTCATACAAAACTATTTCACATAACCATTTTATAATAGATTGTTTCCATAGATTCTATGGCATAGAGTATGGAATAAAATATAAACAACAATTATTACATAATTATTTAATAATGAATATAAAATTTAATAATTACAACTAAACACCAAAATACCGTACTCAAATTATTCAGATATATGAAATAATTAAAATTATATTATTATATAAATATAAAATGTCATTATTTAGAAAAATATCAATTACAGAGCAGTATTTATAAGTTAAATTAATATGTTTAAATTGTAATAATAGTATCATTTAAATCAAATATTTTACGATAGATTATCAATTCTGGTGGATATGCATGTATACAGATTTTTGTGTTTATCATTTCGTAACTCATCAGTATAATCCAAGTACTCGGCCAAAACTGTTTTATTATCAACTGGGTCAATTTCGCTCAGCATTTCTAGCAGTTGTTTACTTTTTGGTCTAGTTTTAAATTTGACAGTAATTAGCTTGCTAATAATATTGCGAAAACTTGTAATCCTTGGCGATTCTTCGGGATTTGAGTCACTCAACCTGTAAAACATTATAAACTAATTAATTAACTAGTGAATAACTTAATATATTTTAATTGAATACTCACAAATTAAATATAAAAACGACCGTGCCAATCATACCCAAACTAAACATATCGCACAACTCGTTGTAGTGATGATCATTATCACTATGACTTACCTCAGGTGCTATAAACCTCTCTGAACCGACACCGGCCGTGTGAGTGACCGATCTTCCGGATTGAGTGATCGTGTCCGACAACACTTTAGCCAGGTTAAAATCTGCTAGCTTCAATTTGCCATCACTGGTCATTAGTATATTAGTTGGCTTAAGGTCCCGGTGCATAATCGGAGGATCCTGACTATGTATATAATCGACTCCCTGTGCTATATCATTGAATATAGTGAACGACACGAAGTACTCAAACTGGTTGGGCTCCACATTGTCTTTAAACTTAAATATGTCTTTCATGGACTCAATCAATACATTGAGATGGCATTCACATAACTCCATCAATATGTATGAAAACTCATCCCTAGTCCACGACATCTTATACCCGACCACATGATTATCCTTCAGTTTCTTCATGATTGACAACTCCCTCCGTTCATCAGCAGTCAATTCATCAGGCTTCAATTGGTCTGCTAATAAGTTAAAGGTATATAATTACATACTAGGATGTTTTTATTAAATGTTTAAAACTTTGTACTGTATATATTTGTATATATTGTTCATTATATTTTAGTATATTATATTAGTACTGTATTACATTTTAAATAACATTAGATAATACTGTATCAGTACCTTTAATTTGAATCACTTTGAACGCATAGTCAATTTGGTCCTTGGTCACTTTATAAACTTTTCCAAATGATCCAGTTCCTATTATTAGTTCATCTGTCAATTGGTTCGTAAATGTTTTTAAATCCTCATCAAATGTATTGTTATTGTCACTCATATTGACTCGATTTTGTCTACAAATACTGTATTATATAAAATGAACAAATAATTAGCACTTATATAGACATTTACACATTTTTGGTGGTTATCTTTATTACTTATTAAGTCTATTTCATACCTTTAAGGCAATTGTGAGAAGCAATGAGCTATTACTATCTGTATTACAATAATAATATAATTAGACTGATAATAGCAATTGCCGTAATATTTCCTGAGGTAGTGATTCAATGTATTTCACAGAATAAATATTTTAGATAACTCAGAGATAACTAAACTTTTTTTTATAAGTATTTAATCTAACAATTTTCATTTAAATAATTAAAATAAATTTACTAAATTAAATAGGCTAAATAAAATTTTACAATTAATATTTGATAATTTAATAAATGTATTTTGTAAATATATAACACTTTTACTCAATAATTAAATAAGTATAGTGGGTTTCTTCAAAGTATGAGATATAAAAATATTGCAATTTATCTACCGGATGATGATAGTAATATTACACATTTTTAATCATTTATTTATTTATACAATCTAGAACATAATTAAAATAAGAACTGTATAATTATTTTTAAAAAATATGATTAACAACAATTTTACTATACAAATAATTAAATAAAATATGATTTAACTATTATCTAAACCATGTAATTTATTTTAGTTTATTAAACCTGGTTAATACAAATTGTTTAAGATATTTGTGATTACTCAAAACTTCTTGATAATCCTTGTATTTATGAAAAACTTCTTTATTATCTATTTTGTCAATTTTGCTCAATATTTCCAACAGTTTCACACTATTTGGTCTACTAATGGGTTTTAGATTAATTAGCTGGTTTAATATATTGCGTAAACCTGTGATTCTTTTCGAGTCACTTTCATTTGGTATAACCAAATTTATCAAGAATAAACAATATTAATTAATTATTCAATATAACTTATTCTACAGTCATTGACCCTCTGGATATGTATATAATTGACTAATCCTTGCAATTTTTATATCATTTATTATGTAAATATAAAATTCATTATTTAAAAAAATACCATTTACTGCTCAGTTTTTATTTGTCAAATAAATAAGTTTAAATTGTAATAATAATATCATTTAAATCAAATATTTTGCTATTAGATTATCAATTTTGATGGATATGTATGTATACAGATTTTTGTGTTTATCATTTTGTAACTCATCAGTATAATCCAGGTACTCGGCCAAAATTGTTTCCATATCAACTGGCTCAATTTCGCGCAGCATTTCTAGCAGTCGCTCACTATTTGGTCGAGCACTAAATTTAACCGTGATCATTTTATTTATAATATTTGCCAAAGTTTGAATCCTTCCAGTTTCACTTGGTTCGGATAAACTGTGCAAATGATTCAAACAATTATTATATTATATTTACTATTTTTAAAACTAAATAGACAAGGACACTTACAGGTTATAGAGAAATATTTTCTGGCCACATATACCCAGGCTATACATATCGGCCGATTGTTTGTAGTGAGAACCCAAACCGTTACCAACTTCGGGTGCCCTATAAAAAGCGGCGCCTACTACTGATGTATGTGTCACCGACCCTTCTACCACCTTAGCCAGACCAAAATCTGCTAGCTTCAATACGCCATTCTTGTCCATTAGAATATTAGATGGCTTGAGGTCCCGGTGCATAATGGGGTGGGGGTTGAATGAGTGGATATAATGGATTCCCTGTGCTATCTCATAGAATATACTATACGACACGAAGTACTCGAAATGGTTGGGCTCTACATTGTCTTTAGACTTAAATATCTTTTTCATGGACTCAATCAATACATTGAGATCGCATTCACATAACTCCATCAATATGTATGAAAAGCCATCCCTAGTCCACGACATCTTATACTCGACCACATGATTATCCTTCAGGTTCTTCATGATTGACAACTCCCTCAGTTCATCAGCAGTCAATTCATCAGGCTTCATTTGGTCTGCTAATGAATAGTTAGATAACATTAAGAGTATATAATTATATACTAGTATGTTTTTATTAAATGTTTAACACTTTTATCGTGATATACTAGTATTACAATACATTTTAAATAACATTAGATAATATAGTATTAGTACCTTCAATTTCAATCATCTTGAATGCATAGTTAATTTGGTTCTTGGTCACTTTATAAACTTTTCCATATGATCCAGTTCCTATTATTAGTTCATCTGTCAATTGGTTCGTAAATGTTTGAAAATCCTCATCACAAATATTTTGATTGTCACTCATATTGACTCGATTTTCTCTACAAATACTGTATTATATAAAATGAACAAATAATTAGCATTTATATAGACATTTACACATTTTTTGGTGGTAATCTTTATCAATATTTACTTATTAAGTCTATTTCATACCTTTAAGGCAATTGTGAGAAGAAATTAGCTATTATTACCTGTATTACAATAATCCACATAATAAATATAATGTGACTGATAATAGCAATTGCCGTAATATTGCCGGAAATAGTTATTCATTATATTTCACAGAATAAATTGTTTAGATAACGTAGAGATAACTAAACTTTTTTAAATAAATATTAAACTTATACCGGTAAATTTATACTTAAATAATTAAAATAAATTTTCTAAATTAAATAAGTTAAATAAAATTTCTCAATTAATGTTTAATAGATTTATTATACAAATACAACTCATTTACTCAATAATTTGATAAATATAGTGAGAGATAAAATATTATTGAAATTTATCTACCGGATGATGATAATAATAATACACATTTTTAATTAATTAATTATTTATTCTATCTAACCATAATTAAAATGATATATATTTTACAAAAATAAAATTAACAACAATTTTTTTATACAAATACTTAAGTTAAACATGAATTCCCTATTATCATTTAATTAATTAACTTACTTTAGTTTGTTAATTCTGATGGATACAAATTGTTTCAGATATTTATGCGAGTTATTTAAACCATTTTCATAATCTTTGTATTCATCCAAAACTTTCTTATCATCTATTTTGTCAATTTTGCTCAACATTTCCAATAATTTCACACTATTTGGTCTTTTATTAGGTCTGCGGTGAATGAGCTGGTTCAATATATCGCGCAAACCTGTAATTCTTTGCGAGTCACTATCATTTGGTATCGCCAAACTTATCAAGATTAAAAGCTAGTTAATTATTTAAATTATTAAAAATTTAAGTCTAGTATAGGATTAATTATACTCACAAATCAAATATAAAAACTGTCTGTCCAATCATACCCAGGCTATACATATCACACAATTCATTGTAATGGTGGTGCAATGGTTTAGGTCCGCTAACTTCAGGCGCTATAAAAGTCTCGTTGCCCACCCCTACCGTGTGTGTCATCGACCCTTTGTCCCTAACCTTGGCCAACCCAAAATCACCTAGCTTCAAACTACCATCGCTGGCCATCAGGATGTTTGGTGGCTTAAGGTCCCGATGCATTATAGGGGGTGTTTGGGTGTGAATATAATGGACTCCCTGTGCTATCTCATGAAATATATGATACGACACGAAAAACTCAAAATGGTTGGGCTCTACATTGTCGGCGCACTTAAATATGGCTGTCATTGACTTAATCAATACATTGAGATCGCATTCACACAACTCCATCATTATGTATATAACGGTGGGTGTAGTCCACGACTTGACATACCCGACCACATGGCTGTTGTCCAGCTTTTCCATGATTGACAGCTCTCTGAGATATTTCTTCTCATTTTCATTCAGTTTTTCTGTAATTAACAGTAATTTTAATTATAATAAAACTTTTTGTAACTATTGGATCAATTATAATACTGTATATCAGTTACAATACCTGTCAATTTGATTTCCTTGAGAGCATATTTGATATGGTCCTTGGTCACATTGTAAACGGAACCAAATTTTCCAGATCCTATTTTGTTTGGTTCGGTCAATTGTGCTTTTAATTCATCATCAATGTCTTCATTAGTACTCATATTGACTCAATTAAACTCAGCAAACGTTTAAACCTTTTACTAGTATAACATAATACAGTATAATAGTAATATATACCCAAGTACCAGATTATATATTAACAGTTACTGTCAATTCCATGGATTCACTGATTGTAACCAAGAAAACAATTATTTCGAAAATAATTATTACAAACAAAATGATACATGCAAATAATAACAATGAATAATAATATATACGGTAAATATAGTAATAAAATTAATTATTACTAATAATTCACACAATTAAGTTAATTGAATTAACCCAAAAATTCTTTAATTTATTTATATTGTAAATTAATTTGATTAATAAATAAAAAATATTTATGTAACATGACTGACTATGTAAGAATAATTTTTAAAATAACATTAAATTTATTATTAAACTGTAAACAAATTACAATGCATAGTACTTTGTATTTATTTTTAAACTGTAGTCATAAACTTTTATAACCAAAAAAATCTGTGTCATATTAATTTTGAATTATTTTTAATTTTTAAAATATAAATTTATAAATAAAAATGTTATTCAAGTCAATATTAATTATAGTTACTTTAATTACATTGATAACACCAGCTCACAGTCTAAAGCACCCACACAATCATTTTTGTGATAAACGTTTAATGAAAAGTAACATCAATTTGATTGACAAAGTGTTTCAAACTCCGACCACTACTTACATAATTAGACGTTCAATGGTGTACCCCATGAAACACCAACAGTTACCGCAAGTTGTTGACAGTCGTAGGGTATGGCAGCAAAAGTGTAAGGAGTTTCCCTTCACAGACCTATTTTTAGGTATTATTCTTATTAAGTATACCACAATTTTATGTCATTGTAAACATAATTATCAACCCATTTAACCCAGGTGAATTCATTGACTTTTATATTGGAGAAATGAGTGCCCGTTTACAATACATTGACTCCGGGTTCTCCGTAACACTCAATAGGAATCGGCAATTGGTTAGCGATTCTGAGCCCAAACCTGATTACTATTATTTGGTGTTTATATTCAGTGGCTATTATTACTATGTATTTCGTGAACTATCCAACAGTTCGCTAATATTGGCTAATAATAACCAAATGCCAAATGGTGTGGGTATCCCTAACACTGGCTTAATATCCGATGTATTTGGAGTCCGCGGGCCTGTCTATGCAGCCCTATATGATACTAGTAATAGCACAACTGGCAAGTTGTCTACTGTGTTATTAATGGACATACAAAACAACATCTATTTATCTATTTTGTATGATATGAATGACCCGGATAATAATTTGCAAACAATTAAAATAAATGAGATTAAACTCAATGCACACTATAAGGCAACGGATTTCAAAGGTGTCGTACGAATGGATTATCCGGTTTATGTGGTCAACAACGAGGCCATAGTTGACATTGAATTTGCTAACAAAACTGTAAGTCCTTTAAAGCACCGGTAGTTTGCATGAATTTCTTATATTTGTATGGATTCCTTAAGGATCAAATTTGGGTACTCTTTGACTGCGACTTCTGGCACAGGTATTACAAATTATTTCGCAAGTATTATATGATTTCCGACACGGAGACCATTGCCTCGACTACAGTTCCGACAGAAATCACATTTACTGTTAATCAATATGTTTGGATATCCTTTATCTTATTGACCGTAATATTCCTCATAATCGGTGGACTCGTATTCATTCCTCGGTTTGGGTTAACATGTCTTAAGAGAGATGATAATAATGTATGTCCCGATAGATACATTATCCATAATGAGTTGGTAGTTTGATATGACTTATGAATTTCTAGTAATTAATACTAACTTATTCTAAGTGTTATTAATACAGTACTAACTAACCAATTGTTAATTTTGCGCGAAATAAACTCATTATTTGATTTTTCTAACTCAATATGAAAGTACAATTTGTAATGAATA